AGAAATTATAGAAATTAGAGAAAGTTGAGATCCATGATCAACGGGATCATCATTCGCTAATTGTAATTGGCGCAGTATTAATGCGTCATAACTAGACTATCACTAACAACGTAATTTTAAATATATAACAACTTACAAATAACTCTGTGATATTCACCTTGTCATATTAAACAATCGTTGTCTGTACTCCTCAAAATGTGAAAATTCCCTTTCATTATGATGAAGCATTTTTTTAAATAGAAAATAACTGATATCAGCATATTTCCTTAATATATCTATGAAAATGTTGAAAAGTCATTTTTATTTAAACAAGAACTTACACGAAATAAAGCAAGTTCCTATCAATATAAATATTTATTACATATTACTATTTATAAATTCAGAATAATTGAAGATAAATTTAGTAATCAAGATATTAATTTGTTATTTATTAACAAATTTTATACTACCATTTATTATTTTTAATAAATAATGGAGACTTTTTATTATATTTTTGAACAAAACTTTAAATTAATCCCCGAACAAATACTTTCCAAAATATAATTTTTAGTAAATAAGTCTTTAAAGATTTAGGGTAGAAATACGTCAAGGAATTAGAAAAATTTGGTAATATAGTTATTTGAGTATTTACGCAGTTGAGATAATTTAAAAGTGTTGCAACATTCGAGTATCGTTAAGGAGTGAGGTAATGTTGGTAGCTCAGTTATTGGAGTATTTTCGCAATGGAGTTCTTTTAAGGTGTTAGGCAAAGGTGGTAACCTAGTTATCAGAGTATTCTTGCAACGGAGGATTGTTAAGGTACTTGGTAAAGTCGGTAAGCTAGTTATTCTGTTATGAGAGCAATTGAGTTTTATTAATGAGTGAGGTAAAGTTGGTAAGCTATTCAGTAGAGTATGATAACAAGTGAATATTTTCATGGAATTAGGTAAAATTGGTAAGCTAGATATTGGAATAAAAGAACAGTAGAGAGTTATTAAAGAGTCGGGTAAGGTTGGCAATATATTTAATTTAATTCCACTGAAGTGAAGTTCTGTTATTGAGTTAGGCAAAGTTGGCAATCTGGTTATTGGAGTAAACGTACAGTAGAGAGTTGTTAATGAGTCGGGTAAGGTTGGTAATATAGTTATTTTAGTTTCATAGCAATAAAGATGAGTCAAGTTTCTAGGTAAAGTTGGTAATCTAGTTATTTGAGTAAAATAACTTTCTATACAAGTGACTTTTCTATATCTTTGCATTCCTAAAGAGTTAATTGTCTCATAATTGTTATCTGTAATAATCAATCTTTCATTATCATCACAAATAGCTTCTTTACTAATTCTTTCTTTTAATTCATTGACAATTTCTAGCTTGGCTGTGATTTCATCTATTGGATCTCTATCTATTTCATTTAGATTATTAATCATTACTAATTCTCTAACTTTCTTTTCTAAAGCTTTGACTCGTGAACTTAAATCAATTAATTCTACGAAGTGATTTAGCTCTAATACTTTAATTTTTTGCCTTATAGCTTGTAATTCTTGAGTATGTCTGGTTTCCATATCTTTAAGAGCATTTTCTAGATTTCTATTTATAACCATTTTTTGTGATAAACTTATTTCAATACTAGAAAATATATCGTTTGAATTTATTGTCAAATTTATTTTTCAAGTAGAAAAGGTTTTTCACAAAATGTCATTTTACCTTTTTTATTTCAGCCCTCGGTTTAATGTATTGAATTTCCGTAATCTAACCAATTCTTGTATACTTGCATGTGATCATCGGTTGCATTCGTTACATTTCTTCCCAAATAATGTTATCTAATGCAATTTTCAATGTGATAAATATCATGCAACGCTAAGCCACATTTTTTTTTAAAAACATGTCGTCATGAATGTCATATGGGTAGAAAAGAGGGAAATCAAGATTTTTGGTCAAAATTTTATTATTGGACACTTGGCTGATCTCGATCATGCATGTGTAAAAAATTATTGGAATTCCTCCTTTCTACCATATTACTGCGGCATGCCATGCACTAGATATTTGACTAAAAAGGTTTTAATAATGAATTTAAAATTTTATTTAATTTTATTTTTTGCTTTATGTTCTAAAAGAAATCAGATCAAAGTCAAAAAATTAACATTGGACAAGTGAACAGTTGAAGCTAGTGATTGAAAAAATATGATTTCGATCGATAAACGAAGAAATTTAATTAGTAGTAGAGTAAAAAGCCATTGAATTTTTTGAATTTTATTACTAAACGGATTAAAAAATTGAAGCAGGAATATCCTGCCTGTGAAATATTTTGTATTTACCAATATTAACGAGGATCAAAAACTAATCGTAAATATAAACCCACAGGCAACATATAATTGATGTTAATGGTTAACAGCTTAATATTGAGTAAATGGTAGTCAATAAACTTGAGTTTTTTTTTTAATGGTTAACGAACGTTCTGATAATTTATCAAAAAATTTTTTTTGGGATAAGACTTTGTCACCTCCAGAAGAAACAGTTATAGGCTAATCTATATCTGGCTAAGTATGACCTTGAATTAATAACAGGTCTCACTATATTATATGATATGTAGTGTCGAGATTGGGTTCAATTTAACACAATCAGTTATGTACAATTAAATCGAAAGTTATACATTAGTGTTTCGGGCAAAACCCTTTTATCAAATCCGAAACTTTTCGCCCAGTAAACTTTGAGTTTAATGAAACATATAAAACCATTGAAATTTGATATTTAATATGGATTATATTTACAGTAAATCAAGTTGAAAATGATCAGAATATATCTAATTTTTTTTATCCTTTTCTTAATTGTTTTTATTTATATTTTCGACGGTAAAATAGTCTTATATTTCTTGTATTATTAACAATTCTCAGTAAATTAAAATTTTATTTTATACTTATACGGGTAAACTCATGTACACTTACAACTTTATTTTTTTTTAAAAAAAAAGATTTTTATCAAGATAAATTCCTTTGAAACAAATATTGCGATAAATTTAGAATAAAAGCGAATCGTTCACTTTTTATTAAAAAAAAAACGGGGAGGCCTGAGTCTTAACTCAATGATCCACATAGTTTCCAATAATAACTACAGCCAGATGCAATTGTAACTAAAAATTAAAAAATAATATAATATAATATATTTCTAAAATAAACTAACCATAAATAAAGCTATAGCTACACAGCGATACAATCCGCCTAAAAAAAAATTTAATAATCAAAAATTATTTAACTATCCCAAAGAAATCTCCTAAAAGGAGAAAAAAATACATTCAAATGAAATAATCAAAAAAACTAAAGGAAAGAAAAGAGAGGCGCAAGATTATTTTGGAAAATAACTAAATTAGAATGATAGAAAATTGCGTCCCGAAGTTACTGAACTCAAAACCTAAATTAAAAATGAAAATTTGAAATACCAAACCAATTAAAAGGAATAAATTAAAAACGATTTCTGCGAAGATTTTTTGGGGACGTTTTGATTTAAATCGCATCCTTAAAATGTATATCCCCCCTAGAAATATTTTTTTTTAATAATGATTATCACGTGATATATCGCAGTTGCGGAACGAGATTTTAAATAGCCGATCACCCATTTTCTCGATCTTACCAGTTTAGGTTAGGATAATATATTTGGAAACACAAGTTATGTAATGAATTTCATTCGTATGACAATTAACATAAAGCATCTGCAAAAATTTACCTAAAATAGGAAAAAAAAATAAGTATTATCTGTCATATTATTCGTATTGACGAATGTACCTATTGAAAGAGAATGTTACGTTTTCATTTTTTATGTTGATTAATGTAACCTGATAATTCAAGTTAAATTGCAATATCTCGACATTTCGGTTATAGTATCCAAAATTAGTAAAGATATTCTATAATATAAAAAGTCTTTTCTTTAAAAATTTTCGAAATAAATCTTTTTCAATCATGTTTAGCAAAAAACATTTTATTACTGAAAATATTCCTGATTTGACCGGAAAAGTTGCCATAGTTACAGGAGGCAACACTGGAATCGGATACATCACCGCAAGAGAGTTATCTCGTAAAAATGCACATGTATTCATTGCAAGTCGCAATAAAGAACGTGGCGAAGGTGCTGTAGAAAAAATTAAAAAAGAAACTGGAAATGATCAAGTAGAATATTTAAATTTAGATTTAGTTAACCTTAAAAATGTAAAGAAATCTGCTGAAAATTTCCTTTCAAAAAATTTGCCTTTACACATTCTGTAAGTTAATAAACTTCCTTAGTTGTAAATATTTTTATTCGCTTTTTTTTCTTGGTTAAAATTTTTTCTTTAAATACCTTTTTTAGTATCAATAACGCTGGAATTATGGCAACGTGAGTTTTTCTCAATATGATTATGCGATTTACAATTTTGATTATATAATAATTATTTATTATAATAATTACTTTAGCCCATGGGCATTAACTGAAGATGGGATTCAGGATCAATTTGGAGTGAACCACGTTGGACATTTCGTAAATGTTTTTTTCTTTTTTCTTTGTATTTTATTTTAAAATTTTTTTCAAAAATTTAAGATATATATTTTTTTTTATTTAGCTATTCACAATGACACTTCTCTCTAAAATTGAAGCTTCGGCACCTTCTCGAATTGTTAACGTCAGCAGGTTAGCTAACATGACTAACTCATTTTAATTCTAGCAGGATAAATTAATTTATATTTATCCCGAATTTTTTATAAATAGCACCGCTCACAATTTTGCTCCGGCTGTAGGAATTGAATTTGACAAGATTAATCAAGACGCTGCGCAATCAACTTGGCAACGCTACGGTACTTCAAAACTTGCCAACATCCTTTTTACAGAATCATTATCGAAACGACTTGAAGGCAAAGAAGTTTATGTTAATTCAATTCATCCAGGTATAATAATTCAACAAAAAAATATATTCCGTTTACAAAGACAAAGACAATTGTAAATCATTAAAAATATTCTTTTTAGGGGTTGTTAATACCGAATTAACAAGAGGACCAATTAGTACTTATGGATTCATTGCGAAAATAATAGTCAAAATTGCTAATTTGTTTTCCCTATCACCTGCAAATGGAGCTTTAACACAATTATATGCTGCTACAAGCCCCGAAATAATTGAAAAAAATTATCGTAATCAATATTTCGAACCATTTGGTAAAATTGGAAAAAAATCTGCAGCAGCTCAAGATGAAGAACAAGCCGAAAGATTATGGAAATATACTGAAGATTTAATTGATGTTAAATTACTTTAGACTAGTTTAATTTAAAATAGATAATATTAATAATTGGTACTCGATAAATTAATATTAATAGTTGTATCATCAATTCATGTAATTTGGAACAATTTATTATCTAGTAAGATTTTAATAAAAAAAATATATGTTGACTGTTGACTAAATGTTTATCAATAAAATAATACATCTAATCTTTTAGCTTAAATAATTATAATAGTGTTACCTAATTTTTTGTAGAGGTAATTTATATAGGTTTTATTTGTAAATAGATATGAATCTGGTCTATTTTTATTTTTAAATCTTCAAATTCATTGATCCAATCATTTTTCTTTTTTTTAGGCGAGTTCTTTTGGGTTGGTAGCTTTTTATTTTACAGTTTAACTTCTTCCACTTTAGGTTAGCTTATTCCGACGGCGTTTATCTGTCTTCTATCTAGTTTTTTACTTTTTGGTTCGATTGCTTCCTTGGCCATATAATATTCTTTTCCCGTTATTATTATCATTATTATAATTGTAAAGCAATGTTCTAATGACGATAGTTATAGTGTGTTATACCTCAGGCCTTCTTAGTGTTAAAATCAAAATTTAAAAGCCAAATTCAAATCGAAGCAAGAAATCGGAATTGAAACTTTAGAACGATAATTTGATTGTCAACCTAAATTTTTTTTTTATATTTTCTCTTATTTCTACTATAATCCTTTTATATTCAATTATTATCTACTATTCTCTTTTCATCTTTTTTCTAAATTTATATTTGACACTTTATTATCTGTAAATTTAATTATCAAAACCAATATTATTATTTTGAATTACCTAATAATTTATATTAACTATTGAATTTTATTTCAGTTATTGGATAATAACCTAGTATTAAAAGCTATACTTTCTTTTTTTTAAAAAAAAAAATAGAAATAATACTTCCCTCATGCTTTAACGCATGCAAGTAACGCTATTTTATTAACTTTGCTTTATTAAACCGAAAAAAAAGTTTTAATCTTCATTTTATTATGTAAATCTAAAGAATTATAATAAAAATCCATAAAAATCAATCATAAATAAAATTTAAAATAATCAAAGATGCCTTATATACTATATTCAGAAGCGATCCAAAGTCCTAAGGAAAAAATAATAATCAATCAAGTGTTAAAGTAAAAGAATTAAAATAATGGAAACTAAAATGAAAAAAAAATAATAAATACATTACGCGCGTTTACTTCCGATGAAAGACAACTCGTAATATGAAGCTAAAGAAAGAAATAAAATTTCATTCATTACCTATGGTTATGAATTGTCTCAGGCCAATCTAACATTATTTACTTCTTAATTAACTAAGATTGTAAAGTTTATAAGTCAACTCTCTCTAAGTGCACCCCCTCGGGAACATAATAAAAATTTGAAAAAATGTGCACTTAAAGTGAGTGTGCATTTAGAGAGAGAAATTTTATATTATCTCTATATTCTTGGGACTGAGTAAGAGTGTGCTTTTAGAGAGAAAATACATAGTGCGTGCATTTAGAGAGAGTGCATTTAGACTGTATATATAAATTAATAGTTATCAAAAATATAGTATATTTATATATATTATAAATTTATATATTAATGTTTTATATCAAATCATTAACATCAAAACAAGACACAGACAAGCTATAGACAAGGTGTATGCTTAAATTCATTATTTTATTTATTTTTTTTTGGTTGTCATATTACATAAGTTTAATTGATGCATTGCGGTATTAAGTGTCACAATTATAGAAATCAGGACTGTGGAAACATCTTGATAACAATCATTTAAGGTTTAACTTGATTACCTTTTCTACTTATGAATTAAATTTGTATTCAGACACAAACATATTAAATTTAACAATTAAATTAATTTTATTATTGCGAATCCTTTTCAAAGACCAAATTTAAATAGTGAAATCGTACAAAAATAAATTTATACAAAAATTATATAGAAATATTGATGCTATTCATTTTAAGTGACAAAATTTCAAGTCAAAATGATAGACTTTTGAAAATAAAATAGTAATTGTTTGCATTCATTTCTAAATGCTTCAGTTGAAAACGAAGGATTGTCCAGATGCAATTTTGGGTCAATTTGGCCTATCAATCTATCAGAAATTTAACTAAATTGACAATTTTAAATTAAGCTAGACAAAAGGTCCCGGAACTAAAAGTAGAATAATCATATAATTAACAACTGTAACAATATAATGAAAAATTAATTTTGATGAAGTCATTGTTAGCTATTACCCTTTCTCTAGATATTGACATTTATAATAAGTCTTCATTAGTTCAATAGAATTTTAAGTTATTATTTAAAATAAATGCAACACGACACTTCAAAGAAAGGAATTCTAAAAGAGCAATTTGATCATAACAATTTTTATTAGCAAGATACTACTCTCGTCGAAAGGTGTTGAATTTAAGGTTTCCTGACAATACTTGAGATACTTGAGACATTTGGCAAAATCGAAATTAGTTTTGCATTTTGCCAAAAATATTTTAAAAGGAAAACCGTGAAGTTTCAACGGTTGGAAAATTTTTGAACAAGTAGTAAAGACAATTGCAAATGTTTCGATGGGTATTAAACCCCCATCAAAATCTTTCATGATAAATTTTACATTACCCTCCATAAAATTTCTTTCGGATACATTTTTAATACGACCATTTAGAACTTGGAATATTGTTTTATAAATTTTATCTATAATTATGTCCGAATCTTTGTCTAGGTTCGAAATACAACTCTTATTCTTACGTGACAAAACTTGTTAAATTTTGAAATATATAGTTAAACTGTGGAATCTTGAATCACAAATCGTAAATGTTTTGAAACCATCGAAATTTCGACGACTTTTGCCAATATTTTGCGTTTATTCAATAATTTCAATTGGCGTGAGCGTAATTGATGTTACTAGACCGAAGATGATTGCATTTTTTTTTTAATATGAAGTTTTGATTCGGATTCCTATGTGTGTCTATATATAAAATATTTACGATATTTTCATTTTTCACAGGTGTTATGAAATAATTTTCAATATTCGAAATTCGATATTCTAAATATTTAATTGAAACCGAACAACTTCTGTAGTTTAATTCGAAGGTTAATTAATAAATTATTTTTTTTTTAGCACCGTTACGTGATACAGATCGTATATTTCTCTTAATATCTAATTTAGCGTATGATTAGTCTTTAATGAATTGTAAACAAAATGACAAATTGACGTAAATTAGGAATTAGGCTATACAGTCAACTCTCTCTAAATGCACACCCTCTCTAAGTGCTCATTTTTTCAAATTTTTATTATTGTCCCGATGGGGTGCACTTCAAGAAAGCTAACTGTAAATTTTATTTTAGCAATTACATTTTTAAAAACAAATAATCTAAATATAGTGTTACTAAATCAAACAAACAATTTTTAAAAATTAATAAAAATAGATTAATATATTAAATAGTTTAATTAATGTTTAATTTAAAATATTTATTTTAATTTTTAAAATACTTCTATTAAATTAAATATATTAATATTTAAATATATTAAATTTAAGTAGTTTATAAATTTAATATAAAATAATAATTACCAATACTTGACTAATTTCTAATTTAAAATATTATTTAATCTTTGAGTAAAATTAAGTAATTGACTAGTACAATATGCTTGTGAATGTGATTTAACAGTAATTTTATCATTAATAACGTTATTATTTTGTATTTGTTTGAATACTTTATCTGCTTTATAAAATCTAAAATATTATTTTTTAATTCTTTATCAAAATCTTTAATAATTATATTTTTAATCCAATTTTTAATAATATTTTTAATATATGATGATGCAGTTGGTCTTATTAATGGATTCATATCCCAACAATTTTTCATTAAAATTTATATAATATTGTGGAATATTTTTAATGATTCCAGAACATTTACCTTTGCAAATATTTAAACTAAGTTAAAATTATGAGCTTCATTATTTATAGAGGAATTCCAAATATTAATTTCCATATTATTATGGAAAAACTATATATATTACTAGAGTTCTGAATGAGTAAGATTGAATGAGTTTTTGTCAAATCAACTTGATTTGACTCGAGTTATTCATTCTAATTGAATGATAAATCATTGTTCTAAAAAAACAATAAAAGAATCATTTTAAAGAAAATATATATAAAATCATTCTGATAGAACAATAATGCATCATTCTAAAGAAACAATAAAAAGAATTATTTTAATAGAATGATTAAATATCATTCTAAAGAAATGATAAAGAATCATCCCGATAGATTGATAATGTATCTTTCTAAAGAAATGATAAAAAAATCATTCCAATAGAATGATTAAACATTATTTTAAAGGAATTATAGAAGAATCATTCTCATAGAACAATAGTATATTATTCTAAAGAAATGATAAAAAGAATCATTCTAATAGAATAAATAAATATCGTTCTAAAGGAACAATAAAAGAATCATCTCAATAGAATGATAATATATTATTCTAAAGGAATGATAGAAGAATCATTCTGATAGAATGATAATGCTTTATTCTAAAGAACCAATAGAAAAAATTGTTCTAATAGAATAATAATAAATTATTCTTTTGGAAATGATAATTGAACTGTTTCTTAGAAATGATAATAAATCATTCTTTTTGGAATGATAATCAAATCATTTCTTAATAATGATAACTAAAAATTGTGGATAGAGGAGATTTC